GCTGAGCCCCAACCGCTCCAGCAAACCGGCAGCGGAGCCCAACTCTCCAGTTTGTTGACTTGCCTGTACAGGGCAGTAGTCTAATCAAGCGCCATAAATTAATTCAGCCTGACTAATTGCTCTGCTATATGGACTGAATTTGAAGAGAATTGCGTGATGGCTTTCCCCCAAGGCTGTCCCCTGCATGCCTGGGTGCGGCACAACCGGAGCCTCTTGTTAAAAGGCAGTTTCTTTGGTATGTCTCATCTCCCAAAGTAAACTGGATGAGGAGGCTCTGGGAGGATTAACCCTTCCCTCTGCTCCTGGTGGGGATGGGATTTCTGGTTGCAAGGCACTGCAGCGGTTGCGTGCATGTTCTGGTCTGGGCGGCTTGGCCTGAAAAACAAAAGAAAAGAGAGAAAAAGGGGAAAACAAAAAGAAATCAAACTTGGGGTTGCTCTCATGAGGGAGTTTCTGTGCTGGGTGCTGGCCCCGGCGAGCAGTGAGGGGCAGATTGGGCAGGGCAGCCTCCAGATCTTATACACCATCCTTCTGACTCCTCTGCCAAAATAGATGTATTCTCCCCCAAAAGCAAACAGCCTCTTCCCGCTGCCTGCAACCCAGACCCGCTCCTGCCCGCCCAGGGCTGCAGCGCTCCGGGGGTGTTGCTCACCCAGCCCTTATCTCACAGCCACCTGGCTGCCAAATCTGCCTGATCCTTCCCACTCCTGGGGCTTCGGCTTCAGCTCTTCTGATCTGAGCTTTCCCGTAGCTCCCCGCAGCTTGGATGCAAACAGGAGTCACGTTTTAAAAGGGCCTTTTAGCAGTAGTTGAGCGGGACCTGGACCTTTCCTGGCCACGAAGGCTGCGCGGAGCTCTATCAGAATAGCTGAAGCAGCATAACCGTGCAGTACGACTTAATCCTGCATGTGAAAACCAGGGAATAAGCTAAACCAGTAAGTCACGGTGGTGGTGCCAGTCTGGCGGCATCCCAGAGAAGTGCCCTGCGCTGGGTCGTGGTGTACAAGCCCTGGGGATGTGTGGATCCAGCCCAATCGGTGTCAGGGATCGCTGTCCCCAGGTTAGGGGCTCGATTGCTGACCCGAGAGCCACACGCTGTGCCCTCTCCTTGTCCCTTGTTGTGCCGCTGCCCGGTCTCCATCAAACGGCTTCGCCCCAGCGCCTCAGGCGTCTAAAATCAAGGGGCAGGGGTGAAGCCACGCTGTTAATTCTTTGAGAAAGCTTTTCTTGGAAAAGTGTTGGGGCAGCGTTTGCTGTGAAAGCTGTAAATCATTCCCCTGGCTCACTCGCTCTGACTAATTCGAGTCGCTGCGAGTCAAGACCGTACTTGTCGGCGTCCTGCAGCGCAGCAGAGCGGGAGCTGGGGAACAGCAAAGGGTCTTCTCAGCACTTCAAAGGTGAAGTCGATGAGTAACGCTTGAAAAATCAGTAGCATCTCCAAATTGCTGCTTTTTTTAAAAAAACAGTGGTTTTCCTTCCTGCGATCGTGTGGGACAGCTGCCTCGCAAGGATTTGTGCTGCTTGCGGGCAGGGCTGCAACCAAACCAGAGGGTCAGGCTGGCGGCAAAGCCATCGATCGCGTGTCGGCACAGGGCACCGTAGCGGCCGCCGCGCCGTCGTTTGGTTTCTGTTGGGCTGAGTGACGCTGTCCATGCAGATCGAGCTAAATTGACTTGCCTTTGCCAGGCTAGAAGTTCTTTGAAGAAGCTGCGGGAAGACTTAAGTAGTAAACTTGAGAACAGACAAGGAGATAAACAGCACGCACAGGTAACGGGAGCACTTCTCGGGTGTTAAATGACATTGACTTATTAAAAAGATGTCACCTTCGGGTCTGGAAAATGATAGGAGGGGCCTTAAAGATCGAGGCGCTCGTGGCAAACGAAAGCCACGCCGGCACCGTTTACAGGCCAGATTCGAAACCCACACAAGCACGTAACGAGGAGTCAGTAAGCGAAACGCCTTGGCCGTGCAAATGCACTACTGCATGTTCGTTTGCGGGGAAACAAACCCTGGGTCTCGAGTTGCTGCGGTGCCGCAGAGCGAGCTGTCTGCATGCGACTGCGCTGCGCGCGAGCGGCTGCGCCGGCCGGCGTCACATCCCTG